TCCGGAGCTGCACGCCTGTCAGTCTGGAACTCTGTGGCTACTTTCCCTGTCTCCATCTCCCATGGCAGGAACTGGGAAGGACAGCATAGGAACGCTTGACTGCAACCGTGTGAACAGCAACACTTCACTTCAGAGCAAGAGGCCGGAACCCAACAGCATTTTATCTGCTCAAAAGAGCATGTGTAGCCCTGAATCCCTTCACATCCCCCTGAAGTGGGTGAGGTTTCGCAGCACACTGCACTTGGGGGTACTGAATGCAGCCCGTGACAGAAGAAGGAGACTCAGGACAGACTGTTGTCTCGAGGATGTGATTTTCCTGGTCGTCACTGTTAGCTTAGAGGAAAGTTTTCTAGTACAAAATGACTCCCAGGAGCTCTGTCAAGAACCAAAACACAAACAAAGAAAAAATAAAACCAAAAACAAAACACAACCAAAATCCACCACCCCCTCAGGAGGCAGAGACAGGATGAGGCTCTGGTGTCTTTGTGTTTGCCTGTGCAGCCACACAGGAGGGCCAGCGCCTGCCGTGATGCCAGCCAGAGCCCTGTCGATGCTGCCTCCCCTGGGCACTGAAGCCAAGGCACCTGGATGGGTTATTAGCAGGATTGGAACTCATCCCTCTGCTGGGACTAGATCATAATTACAGTAATTTTCTAACAGAGCCCGGCAGTAGGACTGTTTAATCAGCATCCGACTCCCCTGTGCTCTCAGCCCTCATCACTCAAGGAGAGGAGTGGGATGGCTCTTAAAGAGACAGTGCCCGCCTTTCAACACTTTGAACAGATGTGCCCTAATTGGCAGAATATATCTAAGTCTTGTAGCTTACAGCAGGCAGGTTGCACTGCCTCCAGCAGACTGCCTGGTGCCCTCACTATTCTAGGAGGGCCCCAGGTCAGGCTGCTGGTGAGCCAGGATCCCCAGCTAACACAGCCACTAAGGGAAGAGACACAGAAGCTTACCGTATTTGTGGAAGGAACTGACAAGCTGGCCCATTTGGATTAATGGAATGGGAGAGAAAGAGCTTGAAGTGCAGGAAAGACTTGAAATTCTGGAATTCTGGCTGGTGGTTTCCCATGATCCAAGATCACAGCCGCTCTCAGAAAAACCCTTACCAACTTCCCAGGAACATTTTCACTCCACATCCCTAGCATGTCTATACTCACCACTGTCAAGTGCTGGCCACCTAGTGTCCCTATACACTGTCGGGCACTGGTGTTCTCCCCTTTGCTTGAGGAAGTAGACCCATCTGCCCTAAGCTGAGTCAGGAGCACTCAGCTCTAAGGAGTGTGGCTCTCGCTAGCCTCTCAAGCAGAGGTTGTGTGTGGATGGTACCTGGAGATTTGAGGTCGCCAGCTGTCCCCCTCCACATCTAGTCACAGCCAGGACAGAACTGTCCCTCTCTCTCTCTCTTAGTGTCAGGACTGGCTCTGCTGGAAGGGCCACACACACTTGGTCTTTGCAGTCATTTCCAAAACAGTTCCTTAGAAAGGAGCCGGGTGGGAAAGGAAGTGGGCTGAGAAGACCGTTCAGGAATAAAGTAAGTGGTAAAGAGACTGGGAAGCAGGACACTCATCTATAGTCCAAAGGGTTTGGTGAGCAAGGCTCTGTGGCTGCTACAGAAGTGACTCCCTTCTGGCAGAGCTGCCCTGTCTTAGGATCGCTGCCCACTGCACTGCCACGCTTGAAGAAGGAAGTGCTCACCACAGTGCCTATCTGCTTGGCTTCCCAGAGACTCAGCAGTGCGCTGCTCTTGCATCCACAAAGGTCAGGTACCCCAACCTAACACTCCTGCAGCCTTGGTGAGTCAGGCCAGGGGCTGCTCTGATCCTATTTCTACAACTGAAAGTACCCCTGCATCCTGTGACCTGTTTGTAGCCCCCTTAAGAATACTAAGCAAGGGGGTTAGAGAGATGGCTCAGTAGTTAAGAGCACTGGCTGTTCTTCTAGAGGTCCTGAGTTCAATTCCCAGCAACCACATGGTGGCTCACAACCATCTCTAGAGGGATCTGATGCCCAATTCTAGCATAAACTGTTACATGTAGATACAGTACCTGCATACATAAAATAAATAAATCTTAAAAAAAATACTAAGCATGAGTTGTGGTATGCAAATGTAACATCTGATCTGGTATTAGATGGCCCTTTGAGCAAAGCTACCAGAAGGTAGGAGTCATCTAGGATTCAGTGATGGGGACCTAAGACCCAGCAGCCAGAAAACTAGGACTGTGTGAGGTTTGTTTGCTGTTGTTGAGTTTTATATTATAGCTCAGGGTGGCCGGGAACACACTCTGTAGCCCAGGCTAGCCTTAAACTCACAACCTTGTTCTCTCAAGTGCTGGAATTCTAGGTGTGTGTCACCCTAGTACTTACTACAAAGTTTGGAAAGTACCAACTACAAAGATCAGACACACTAGGTATAGAAATGACACAGGCCACCTCCAGGTCCTGTTCAGTCATTTAAAAACTGCCTTTTTACGAGTCACACTCAGCTAGAAATGGAGTATGAGGCTTGCCTACCCTGCTGACTCCAATCAAATCAAAAGTATTTTTGCCCCAGAATCTCCCCACCTTCACTTTTTCAGTCGAATAACCTCCTGACACTCCCCACCGGTCCCAACCTCCCACAGCTCAGATTTAGGGAATGACCAGACTCGGGTCACAAAAGTAGCTGTGACTAAAGTAGGCACCAAACTTGCCTCAAACCTCAGATCAAAACGAAAAGATCACTTTTGGTTCTACAAGACTACTCAGTGGGCCGTTCCCCACAGCTAGTGACTCCTCTCTCAGAGAAAGCCATCCAGCAGTGGTGGCTAGACCTCAGCACACACTGGACACAGGAAAGTGCAGGAGAGGCCTCCGGCGTTGCCTGGATGAAAAGAAGCTTTCACCGATGGTTGCTGATTTTCTGGTGCGTGGGCCCATGCTATTAGGAAATCGCTCCCCTTCCGGCATCTTCTCCAGCCAGTACTCGACTCAGCACAAGGCTGAGATGAGACGGCGCCTGGCCTCACATTAACTGAGGGGCTGTTGTACGCATTGCCGCTAATGGATCATTAAAAAAGCTGGGAGTCTGAGAAATCACAGCCATGTCTGAAGAGCGCCTGCTGTCCCAGCAGCCCAGCCTGCTGGCAGAGCTAGCTGCCTAGTACCAACTCCAGGAGGAGCGGGGAGAACAGAAGAAGGCCAATCCAGTTTGCTGGGTTTTGGCTGAGTAGGGAATTGACACAGACCACCTCCGGCTCCTGTCTGGAAGTTTTGAGATCAGAGAGCTTCAGGCACAGCTGGGTTCACAGCTGCACCATTTGGAGCATTGGACTCATTAATATTCATGAGCCATCCCCACCAATCGGCAGAGTGGATGCCATTAGCCTAGCATCTGTCGGGTTTTGTGAGGGTTGTGTATGGAGTTTCCCCCTTTAAATGAACTTCTTTTGACATTTTGGATTTGCCTCTGTAGGTTTTCTAGCCTCGCTTCGCTCTGATGCATCATATAAAGGCGAGACCCAGGGGAGGCGGGCAGGAAGGAGGGATGAATACCAGCCATGGCTTTGCATCTGCCTGTTGACAAACTTTATTTCTCTTTTAGCACCTGGCACCTCAGACAGGCTTCAAAGATGGAAGCAGCATCAGGTAAATTATACCTAACAAGGTTCATGCCCAGAACTGTGAGAAGAGCTGGATCCTGGCTCTTCCGAAAACAGTCCCTCCTGCAGTGGTGAACTTGAGTCTCGTACACAATGCAAGAGAGCTCCAGCACACAGTTCTACAGCGAGCGTTATTTCCACACTGATAAATTCATGATTTATGAAAGTAACTCCTGCCAGCTCTCACTCCCTCCTTCCCTGCTACAGCTTGTTAGACACAAATTGCAACAACAGTCTTAAATACTTGCATTTTATTTCAGGCCAAAACCCCTCAACTCTGAACTAAATGCCATGACAATCCCACAACACAGGCTAGTAGTAAAAGAGCCCACAGACAGGCAGATGGCCAGAGGGGAGGAAGCCCACACAAACCTAAGAGCAGAGCAGCAGAGCCCACCTAGCACTCCAGCTACCGGCCCAGCCCTCTGCAGACAGGGTTTCAGCAGCAGGAGGGCAGGAGCTCAATCTCTGAAGAAAAGCACGTGGTTCCTCATCTGCATTCCCAGAGCCCTAGCTTCCAGGAGAAACAAAGCCTGAGTGCCCCACTGGATTGGGCAGGCTGCTTCCCTGCAATGCAGCTGTGGGCACTGTGGCAGCTAACGCCTGGGGGCAGGGAGTTACTATTAAGAGAGAAAACAGGAAGGAGCATGTTTTCCCCCTGCAGAAACACCAGCTCTGCTTTAGAAGCAGAAGACAGCCTAGAGCTGCCTCTGCCAAAAGAAACCTCTGTGCTCTTCCCTCCCCCTGGCTACAACCAGCCACTTTGCCTTGATGGGCTTGACCTGCCTGCCTACAGTTCTCAGGCCCCACTCGACCTGCTAAGGTCTTGGAAGATACTGGAAACTGCAGCAATGAGAGTCACACCACTGCTGGTTACTGACAAGCAAGGAGCACCACCCTATCCACACAAGGAGGCAGGCAAGAGGCCAGCCTCCCATAGCCAAAATGCTCCAGGAACTGCAACAAAAACTGCAGCCTGCCACGGTGGGAATATAGCAAGAGAAGCATTCTGCTGGGACAGTATTCAACATGGCAGCTAAAATCTGCCATGAAGAGGTTCCCCAAACCATTCACCCGTGGCAGTGCTCCTGTGTCTAAACAAACACCTCAAGAAACTCAGCTCCTGGGGAAGTAAATACAGTTCTATTTAAAACCAACAGCTTCAGGGGGCTGGAGAGATGGCTCAGAGGTTAAGAGCACTGACTGCTCTTCCAGAGGTCCTGAGTTCAATTCCCAGCAACCACATGGTGGCTCACAACCATCTACAATTTAATCTGGTGCTCTCTTCTGGCATGTAGGCAGAACACTGTATATGTAATAAATAAATATTTAAAAAAAAAAAAAAAAAAAAAAAACCAACAGCTTCTGGACCCTGTGCTGAACTTACAAACACCAGAGTGGTGTGTATTCCCATGGAGGAGATATAGCAGGCAGCCACAACCAACCTCTGCACAGCGAACCTGAGTAGATGTGGGTGGAAGATGCTCAGCAGCCCAACCTCCCCTCCACCTGCCCTGGGCCCAGTCCCAGTGAATGGACCGTGGCCTGCATCTTCACCACCACCCAAGAGAACCTAGGGCTCAGCCACAGCTCACTTTCCCCACACTGTGTCTAGATGACCAGGATCCAAAGGCACAGTATGGTCCCCTCCCACAGCCCTTCTCACAGGCTGGGACACAGAGAGTCCCTCATCGGGCCTTGCGATGTCACAGCATGATGGCGAGGAGCTGGGTGGCAGCACGGGCCCTTCTAAGGATGGGCCCTCAGAGTCGATCACTGGAGCCCATGTTTCTAAGTGGTCCTTCTCTTCGCTGGGAGGTGGGGAAGGAGAGCTCCTCCTGCCTGATCTTGGAAGAAAGCAGCAACTGAAAGGGAAAGATGGGCATGAGCAGATGAGCAGACATAAATAAATTTCATTCAGTGAACTATCCAGCCATATAAAGGAATGAAGTACTGAAAAAATGCCGGTGTCGGCACAATGGCTCATTGGGTAAAAAGGCCCCACTGCCAAGCCTGACGACCTACTTCATTCCCCAACGGCAGGAGGAGACAACTGACCCCAACAAGTGATCCTCTGACCTCCACATACATGCCATGACTACACAGATGCAGAAACACACACTCAAACAAAATAAAACAGGATTTTAAAACATTTTTAAGGTCTGCTTTCTGGAAAAAGCCAGATACACCTGCCATATGGCTCCGTGTGTTTGAAATGTCCAGAACAGGCAGATCCAAACAGAAAGCAGGCTGTGGTTACTGGGGGAACGGACAGCCATTGCTCACTGGGGTAGCATTTCTTCATTTAGAACATGGACATGCTAAGAGCTAAGGAGGTGGCTTGGTGGTAGAACACACACCTACTGCAAGTGAAACCCATGACTTCATTCCTGAATCACAGCAATTAACTAATCAATCAATTTTAAAAGAGCCTGGTACGGCAGCGCACACCTTAATCCCAGCAGTCGGGAGGTAGGCAGATCTCTATTGAGTTTGAGACCAGCGTGGTCTACATAGCAAGTAGCCTACATAATGAGTAGGTCTATACAGCTAGGGCTACACGATGAAACAACAACAAAAAAGAAGAAACAAGTATTCTAAAACTGACAGAGTGCTGTGTGCACACCAGGAGTCCCCGAGCTCACGTCTGAGGCAGAAAGATCACCAAAAGTTGAAGACTGGCCTGGTACACAGTGAGCTCCAGGCCAGCATAGGCCACAGAGTGAGACTCTGCCTTAAACAAAAGAAAAAAGGCAGCCAAGGAAGGCTGCTCCTTCTTTCTCCCTGAGTCTCAGCAGGACCGCTAGTTTCCCATCCAAGATAGAGAACTAGGCCGTTTCCAATGCCATCAATTCTGTGGCATTCCCTTCCCTAACGCATAGGCATGCCACTGAGGTCCATGACACACCCCATGTGTCACTGGACAGTGATCCCAACCCCAGGTCCCTCAACAGGTCCTACAGTTACCTGTTAAGCTGGTCTCCTTTAGCCAGGTGAGAGGTGCTTTGCCTCTCCTCCTGGGCCCAGCCACAGTTTGACATAGCATAGCAAAGAATGGCATCAGACACAGTCAGGGAGCCTCGGCCCTGGACACAGGCTTCAATCTCAGGCACTGAGAGCTGGCTTTGGAGGAAGAGATGCAACTGACTGTCTGACAGAAGGACCACGCTCTGTAGGACCCTGGAGCAACAGAGAGCACAACACAGAACATGTGACGGAGCAGCTGTCCCCATCCCCATCCCAGCCAGGCTTTGTCTTCATGGAGCATTGGAGATGGGAGGGCACAGGAAGCCAGCCACCATAAATATGGCTGCATGAGCAGGGTCGGGGTTTGCATCCTGCCTGGCATCCTCTGTGGCACCGCTAACCCAGCACCCTCTGTGGCCACCGCTAACCCAGCACCCCCACTCACTTTTCTAGGAAATGCTGTAGACCTTGCCGTCGCTTCTCAATGAACTCATCAGAGCTGCCGAAGAAAGTGGACTTCCCAGGAAGTTCAGGTACCGGCCTGTGGAGGCATAGTATAACACTCAAGGTAAGTGAAGCATCACCCTCACCCCACCCAAAATAATCCCCTGAAATGAGGCCCAATCAATGCAATTATCTTTCAGTAGGGGACATGACAGAGTTAACACTGGTTGGTGGCATGCCCTATGACAGGCACTTTGAATTACACATCCACAAACATGGCATTTAATCCTCCTAAAAACCCCATGAGAAAAATATTAGTGTCCTTTTAGAAAACCAAAGAGGTGATATAAAATTCCCACTATCAACCAGGTGTTGTGGCCTATGCCTTTAATCCCAGCAATGTGGGAGGTAGAGGCAGGCAGGTCTCGAGTTCAAAGTCAGCCTGGTCTACAAAGTGAATTGCAGGATAGACAGGACTAGCAGAGAAAACCTATATCAAAAACAAAACAAAAAAATCCCATTGATACACAACACAGCTAGTAGCCAGGTCTATGATTCCAAACCCATGCTACTACACCACTCCATCTAGCATACCCACTTCCAACATCAATCGCTTTTTTCTTCACATATGCATGTGTTTGCTTGGTGATATGTGCACCACGTGTGCACAGTATCCACAGAGGCCAGAAGAGGGACTCAGATCCCCTGGAACTATAATTACAGGCAGTTATAGGCAACTTAGGCCCTCTACAAGAGCAACAAAGGCTCTTAACTACTGAGAATGGTAGTTTTCTTTCACTGACTTAGACACTGATTTAAAGCAGTTCTTTAGTGTCTGACATTTTCTAAGCGGGAGACACTCTTTAGTTACTGTAAAGTTTAGCTCCCACATAATCACCCAAGAGTCTATTCAGACCTGAGAAGGCAGCAAGGGCAAACTCACACCAAACCCGCATTCCTCTGTAGCTGCTTCCTCAGCCACACGAATTCACGGTAGCGGCGCCGCACACAGGAAGTCTTGGCGGTAAAGGCCTTGCTGTTTGTCTACAAGAGGAAATTCATAAAAAGGGTTAAATGGAAAAAGACTAAGTCTATATGAATTCACCATCATCACTCTCATTAAGGGGCCAAATTATCAGGCCATTGATCCCCAGACCAAGATGCCACTAGACAGACTGAAAGCCATTCAGTTACACCTAATATTCTTTCTTCTCCACACGACTTTTCTTCTAAATCTTCTGTCTCAAATCATTTCTACTTCAGCACAGTCCAGAGGGCTGCAGTTAATCCCTTTACAGAAGTTTGACTCACATGAAGGAATATCTTATAGTCCACGTAAGAATTCCAGGAGCCCTCATTCTGCACCCGGGGGTCCTGAACACGCACCGTGATCACTTCCTGCAGGTGTTTAAAAGAAATTCCCTCAGTTTTAGCTCAGGAACACAGAAAGGAAGTGGTTTGGTTTTGACTTTGAACCCTGGCTGGCCTGGAACTCACTGTGTAGACTTTTTGCCTTGAACATGTGGCATTTTTCACACATCTGCCTCCCAGGGCACCATGCCTAGCTAGCAAGGCAGCTCTGACCAGACAGTAGTTACCAAGGTTTCTAATTCAGTATCAATTCCCAATCATTTCTCCATTCGATACGGCAAGTATGCATGCCAGGCGCTGTACTAAGATAGAGCACAAACAAGAAACAAAACTGGCCAGGCAGTGGTGGCACACACCTTTAGTCCCAGCACTCAGGAGGCAGAGGCAGGAGGATCTCTGTGATTTCAAGGCCAGCATGGTCTACAGAGAGTTCCAGGACAGGCTCCAAAGCTACACAGAGAAACCCTGTCTCGAAACACTCCCCACCCCCCAATGGAAAAAAAAAAAAAACCAAACAACAAACTTACATTCTAGTACATTCCAATTAATGGAAAAGTTTGTCAAAATGGAAGCTCACTTCTCAGCATATACAATTGCTAGTGATTTCCTTCACCTGGCTTTATTCTGAGCTCATCAGAAACACCAAGGGCACTACCAGAGGAAACCACACCACGACAATGATCTGCATCTGTGCCCCTTCTCCTAAAAGGCCCTCCAATACCTGTAGCCCACCTTACCTCTGGCTCTTGGTTCTCCAACATCCTACACCAAAAGCCCATCGGAAGAAAACATCTGAGGGCAGAGGACACAGGAACAAGCACAGTCAGCAAGTATGTCCTTACCAGGTTTTCTCAGGGCAAAACCCCAGAAGTTTTTAGTAGATAGCCCTTGGGGAAACCCAGGTTAACTTCCCGCTCCCGATTATGATGTGTGAAATTCTAAAGGGAATAGGGAAAACAGCCACTTTAGTTAGTGGTGAGTCCCGGAGGAGAGTTTGTCTCCATTCTCAGACTACTCCTGGGACCCTCTACAAGGTCACCTCAGCCTAGAGCTTGTTGGGATATGTGGAGTGTCGTGGGTGGCCAGAAAAGCAGGTAGGTTCCCTTGTAAAACTTTTGCCTGAGGATTGTGGCTTGGCAATACAGGAGAGCACAGCTTTGAAAAGGAGCCTAACAGCACCCCCTCCTGGTTGTCTAGAGACAACCCAGTCCCTAGGAGTATCAATGCTCCAGCAATCTCTCTTGCTAACCAAAGTCCCCTCCAGACAGGTGAGTCATTGAGCTGGAGTGCTCCCGGGAGCAGCCAACTGAATGGTCCAGTTACAGTTACCACCGTCCCTTTTCAGCTCTCTAGAACTGGAGCCAACCATTGTGATCATTTCCAATCCTGACATGCCATCCGGTTTGTACCTCTGCCCAAGCACCCCACAGCTTCGCGGGTCAACTCAGGATGCATTCTGCTCCTTTGTAAAGATTCATTAAAGCCTAAGCCTCTCATTTCCCCCAGTGTGGTAGTTTAGTTGCACAGCGACATCGCCCACTCCAACAAGGGGACCATGAAGGCTGCAGCACAGGGTTGCTGGATTCCAAAGGGGCCCATGATGTCACCTTCTGTTAAAATACAGCACTAATCTTGTTACTCCTAGAACCACTCCAACAGCATCCACCCTGGCTGCCGCCTCCACCTCCTTCCTCTCTCTTAAGAGCAGAACAATAAGGTTTAATTTCCCTTTCCAATTTACCTTGAAATGAAAACTGACTTCAGCCAATATGTACTGCCAACAAATGATCCGGGCTGGCTCCTGGGAAAACAAGACTATCTAAGCTCTCCCTCCCCTCCTCCCGTGCCCATTCACACACCCACTCATTTTTACAGTCCCACAATTAATTTTAAACACATTCTCTTATTAGTTCTGCCTTACCATTAGAAGAGTGCATAATGAGCTTCCGTCTATTTTATGTTTTGCTAACACAGGGCTAATGTTTCAAAAGAAGGGGAACTCATTTACAGCATGAAATTAGCAGAGCAAACAGCTTTTGCAATTCTTTCCAATATCCCAGAAGGTCTCACTTCTACAGACAGACATTGCATGGGGGGACAAAGCTACATGGCAGATGACAAAATTGAGCTACGCGGTGGAGCAAGCCCAAGGTTTTGTGATTTCAACACCGTAATAAACAGCATTCTTGCTGACAAACCGATTTTTCATCGGCTCAGTCACCACCTCCAACAGGCCCTGAACTGAAATGCAGGAAACTCCAATTCCCCAATAACCCAGACTAACAATCCAGATGGAAATAGACAAAGGTCTGTAACCAAAAATAGCAGAGGAGTTGATGTGAATGATTAACCTCCTGGAGTCCCCACCCCTTTCTCTTTATAGGCATTTGCTAAACTGCTAGCGTAGGAACCGAGAGTTAAATACTCCCAAGTGTCTTCTTGTAGTACAGTAGTTAAGATGACAAGAAAACAGAGTTCACACCTCTCTGCCTGGAAAGGTCTGTGAAATTCAAGACTCTAGCTCAATAACTAAACCGTCATCATAGCTTTGGTCTCTTCTTAAGTTTGAAGGGGCCAGCAGCACCCCCAAGTGGAAGTTTTTCTCCTTTTCTGTGAAGCTAGTGTCGCATGGAAACAACCATGGACTGCTTTTAAAATTCAAAGCCTCTAAGACTCCATGCGTTTATATGCTTAAACTTAAGTTTAAAGGGCACCCAGGAAGATCTGTTTTATGTTTCCTTAAAACACTGAAACTGCAAAAGCCTAGACTCCATTTCTTCTTCTTTCTTTCAGTTGTATGTTTCCTTAAAACACTGAAACTGAAAAAACCTAGAACTGTTTCTTCTTTTTTTTTTTTTTTTTTTTACTTTTTGAGACATGGTTTCTCTGTTTAACAGCCCTGGCTGCCCTAGAATTCGCTCTGTAGTAGACCAGGCTGGCTCCTAACTCCACCTCCACTGGCATTAAAAGTGTGGGTCACCATTGCCCAGTAAGACCTAGACTCCATTTCTAACAATCACTAGTCTCCATCAATTTCCTTCACAAAGACACCACTCCTTGGAAGAAAACAAAACTCAGTCCATTCCTGGAGAAGCATCAAGTTCTTAACTTCAGCTCTACGACCTAGAGATAGATCTGTGCATCCACTAAGGAAGGATAAGTCAAGTAACCTCCAAGGGTTAGGAAACTTACTCAATGCTAACTACATTTCCAGGGCCTTTCCCATCACATCTGAAGTGCTGTTTGCTTCCCTCAGCAGTACCAGCACCAACAGTCCTGGGGAAGAACCAGATCTTTTGCTGTATACAAAGTTAATGCACTGTAAAGCTCACAATTGCTAATTCAGGGGAGCAATTCAAGGCCTACCCCTCATTTGTTCTGCCACTTAAGCTACTTCAAGAGACACGTTAAAAACAAATCCAGCTATAAAAAGATTGCGCCAAGGAGCCTCCTGCCTTACTCATTCTTGAGCCTTTGATGTCAACAGACGTCAACTTTGCCACTCAAAAACCTCCCTCCTAAAAACCCACAGGTGATAGAGGAAGCTCTCCGGTCTGACACACTGTCCAGCCCACCAAGAAGCTGTCCCACCTTTCAGTCGCTAGCCCATTCCTTTCACCTGGAAATAACGAAGGCGACCATAATTTCCAGTATCTGCGAAAAATATCTGCCATTTTCTCCCACTCCAGGCCACTTGGATAGTTCTCCCCGAACTCTGACTCTGGCCACTCCCTTTCATTCTTATCAAACTAGATGGAAAATAGAAACAAGCTCCTTCTGCCTTCCCGGTTAAACCTGGGACAAAGACATCTTCTATTCTCAGGGTAAATTGAAAAGCTAGGTTTCCTTTTTTGTTGGGTCCTCAGCAAGCCCTCACTTTCCCACCGGACGGTAAGACAACCCCTTCCTATGACAAAGCGAGGCCATCACTCAAATGCCACCACGGCTCCTCAAGCCGGCGTCCCCCCTTCACCTCCGCAGCACCTACGAGCAGCGGCTCCGCCCACGCCCCTCACCTGAGAGCAACAGCAGCTCTCTACAGCGACACCACCAGCACCGCACCAGATAGCCCGAATCCCGGCTTCTCCTTCCGGGTGAGTCTCCGGCGCCCCGGTGCACGACGGGAGGCGGCTCCCGACGCACCAATCCTGAGTGTCCAAGACGCCCCACCCCTGCAGACCAAGGCTCTCAGTGGCAATCGCCAGTCAGCGGCGGCTCTCCGCCCCGCCCAGACTTGAGCTGCAATCTGGATCTTCCAGGAAATCGCTAGGGGCGCGGGAGGCGGAGCGCGAGGACTGAAACCCCTCGACGTCCACTCCAGTGTCGAGTCCCGCCCACCTGTCAGGCGCGCCAATCAGCGCGCAGAGAGCGTCATTAAAGGTCTGCAAGAGCTTCTTGGGATCCGAGGTATCTGACGGAGTTGTCAGTAGTGTGGGGAGGTTCCACGCATCCCTGGAGCTTTACTAAGAACACGGGAGAGTCCCTGTTTGAACCTCGGAGGTTGCAGTTCCTTCCCCAACTAAAATGTCAAGTTAGATTTGGAAAAGATGCAGATTATCCCGGCAAAAACCAAACGAGAAGGCTGACAACTCACAGTGACTCCCCCGGACAAGCCCAAAGCATGATCGCGCAGGTAATAAGCAAGAAAAAGCTGGTGAAAATGCTAACTCTGGTGACATCAAAATTCCTCTTAAGGCAATAGAAGAGCTCACACCTGGAATCCTAACATTTGGAAGATTAAAGCTACATTAGTGAGTTCCAGACCACCCAGGCTACAGAGTAAGGCTCAACCTCAAAAACACAATAAATAAATAAATGAACCAAAACTTTCGTGATCTGTTAAAAATATAATTTTACACCTGTAATCCCAGCACTTGGAAGTAGAGGCAGGAATTGAAGGCCATTGCCAACTACATAATGAGTTTCAGCCTAGCCAGGCTACCTAAGACCCTGTCAAAAACCAACCAGGTGGGAGCTGAAAAAATGGCTCAGAGCTTAAGAGTGAGTATTTGTTCCTCTTCCAGAAGATGAGTTCAGCACCCACATCAGGTAGCTAACAAATAACTGTAACTCCTATTCCAGTGGATCCGAGGCATACACACACACACACACACACACACACACACACAAATAGATGTTTATTTCTTTTTATTTTGTGTATGAGTATTTCACCTGTAAGTATAGATGCCTACCTACAACTCTCAGACGTCAGATGAGGGCCTAAGATCTCCTGGCACTGGAGTTACAAATGGTTGGAGCCACTGCAGGGGTCTGGGAACTGAACCCTGGTTCTATGCAAGAGCAGAAAGTGCTCTTAACCTCTGAGTCATTTCTTCAGTTCCAAATCTTTTTATTTGTTTGTTTCTCTTCCATGCTCAATTGTTTTAGTAAATGAAGAAAATTAGCCTTCTCTAACAATAGTGAATAGTCTTTTGCTACAACCAAACATCAAATAGTACTCTCCCTTCCCATCTCTGTCTCTCCTTTCATTTTAAGATAAGTCTCCTTATCTAGCCTGGGAACTAACTATATAGACTCAGATTACCTCAAATGCAAAATGTGCAATCCTCCTGCCTCAGTCACACAAGTGCTAAGATTACAGTCGTGCAGCATCATACCCAGTTAACAAGTGATGGCTTCCTTTTGAAGACTCACTTTTACTTATGTGCAGGTATATGAAGCTGCATGGCTTTATATGTACTACTTGTGTGTGCAGATGTCCATGAAGGCCATAAGAGGGGATCAGACCCCTAGAACTGGAGCCGCCCAAATGTGGGTGCTGGGAACTGAACCCCACCCTCTGCAAGAGCAACAGATGCTCTTAGCAACTGAGCCACCTCTCCAATCCCATCAAAAAGTTGATAATGTCAATATCATCACTGTTGTCATCAGGCAGAGGCAGGCGGATCTTCGTGAGTTTGAGGCCAGCCTGGTCTACAGAGCAAGTTCCAACACAGCCTCCAAAACAATACAGAGAAACCCCTGTCTAGAAAAAAAAAAAAAAACCAACAACAACAACAAAAGCTGGACCTGGTGAAACATGTATAATCCCAGCACTAAGGAGGTTAAACTGGAGTTCTAAGGTCAAGCTGAGCTACAAAAGACCTCACAATTTTTTTGTTTGTTTGTTTGTTTCATTGTTGAGACAGGGTTTCTCTCTAGCTGTCCTGGAACTAGCTCTGTAGACCAGGCTGGCCTGGAACTCACAGAGATCCACCTGCCTCTGCCTCTGCCTCTGCCTCTGTTAGAATTAAAGGCATGTGCCACCCCCACCTGGCTCACAGCTTTTTGTTTTTGTTTTAAGATCTATTTATTCTTGTATATGGTGCTCTATCTGCATATACACCTGCATGCCAGAAGAGGGCATCAGATCCCACCATGTGGATTGGGGAATCCAACTCAGGACCTCTTAACCACTGAGCCATTTCTCCAACCCCAAGACCCCACAATTTAAAAAAAGAAAAAAAAAGCCAGAACTAGTCAAAGTCAGATGTATGTGGCTTACAAGTATATATTTTAATTAAACTCAACTATCAAGGAATCAATGTGAAAAAGCAAACCAGCCAGAGGATGTGAGAGTGAAGAAATGTCCCTTAAACGTATTACATTTTATGAGAAAACATGTTAACTCCAGAATGAATAAATCTTTAACAGCTGGATTTCAGGTAGCCATCCAAACTGGGCCTAGGGGTTCAAAGTCTAGTAATCCCAATTCTTTAGAGGGTGAGACCGGAAGATCAGGAATTCAGGGTTATTAAATGAAAGAAAAAGAAATAGAAGGGGAAGGACGTGACAGCTCCTAGGTACAGTGAAAGAGGAAGTTTGTTGTAGATAAAGGGAGAGCATAGCCAGAGGCAGACACTGGGAATGTCCAGAAAGGACGTGACCCTGAGCCACTGCGTGAGAAGGGGGGGAAGAGGCAGACCAAGAGACCTGGAGAATAAAAAGTAGGCAAAAAGATCAAGTACCCCAAACTGCTGGATTATATAGGGAAGGGCAGCTGGGGGAAGGGCAGCCCAGCCACCAGGTTGGATGAGTTTAGGGTAGGGGGCAGGGTGACAATGAGAAGGGCCTAAAAAGGTTGGGACCAAGGGGTGCAGGAAGAACCTGGCTCTCAGCAGCTGCTTTGATATGTTAAGTAGGCACTAAAGCCATTCATCTCGGGTTTAAGACCCTACAGTTTTTGGCCACAATCTGAATCAGGCCCAGGCTACATGAGACCCTGTCTTAAAACTAAAAGACCCAACACTAGGTGAAGGGACCAGACCCTCATCTAGCCCCCTGCTTTGGCAGCCATGATAGGCTGAAGAAAGACCCAGCAAGACAACGACCTCTGCTTCAGCAACATGTGCTGAGCTTCCCACCTTTCCTGATCTTGCCCCAGTCACTAGGAAACCAGATAGCCTCCATGTGGCAAGGAACCAATCAGAAGTTAGCTGGCGGGCTCTAGCTGTTCTTTAAGGTAACAGTGGAGTACAGAGCATAGCAACCGCCCTGGGAGGGCCTATAGGTCATAGCAACTTTGTTGCAGCTGCAGTTGACCAATAAACACAGGACAGGTTGCCCAAGCTTGGAAGTGCACCAATCCTGAGACTTTAGGACCCCAGACACTCCCCTTGCCCTACCCCAATACATATCCTGCCCCACCGTTCCTCCCTCCAGAGCCTGTCAGCTAACTTCTGATTGGTTGCTTGCCACATGGAGGATATCTGGCTTCCTAGTGACTAGGGCAAGGTCCGGCAAGGATGGAGGCTCAGCACATGCTGCTGAGTCAGGGGCCTACATCTTGTTGGGTCTTTTCTGCAGCCTGTCATGGCTGCCAAGGCAGGGTGCTGGGTGAAGGTCTGGACCCTTCACTGATGATATTGTCAGTACTGCAAAAATGCTATAAAATGCCGGGCATTGGTGGCATACACCTTTAATCCCAGCACTTGGGAGGCAGAGGCAGGCGGTTATCTGTAAGTTCAAGACCAGCCTGATCCACAATAGCTAGTTCCAGGACAGCCTCCAAAGCCACAAAGAAACCCTACCTCGAAAAAAACAAACAAACAAAAAAATGCTATAAAAAAGAGCCTATAAGTTCAGCAGCTTGCCTGGAGTTGCACTGTGTGGACTAAGAGCAGAGAAAGGGTTTGTCATAATTCCCTTATTTTTGCAATAACACATTTTGTTTTCTCTTCCCCGCATTGCTTATGATATGTATCTTTTTGTTGTTGTTTTGTTGAGTGTCTCACTATGTAACCCAACTGTAGGGGAAAAGGGTCAGCCAAAGAAACACACCCTGAGCAGAGCCAAAGAAACACACTTTGGCCCTGCAACGGGAACCAAAGAAATGCACCCTGACCCTGAAACCAGTACCAAAGAAACACACTTTGTCCCTGGAATCAGAGCCAGTGAAAGAAATATACCCTGGCCCTAAAATTAGAACCAAAGACTAAAAAGGACCAGTGAAAGAAACACACGTTGGCCCTGAAACAAGAGTCAAATCTGATACTGAACCTGAGCAGAAAACCAACCAATCCCTGAGCAAGAGATCTAGCCAATCTGAGCTCAGAGATTGAAATCAGACCAATCCCCACTGTGGAAATCTCCCTGGAAAAACTCTGCCCCTGAGAAGTTCTATGTAAACCCTGTGCCTGTTCAGGTTGTAGCTGTTCGGCTGTCCTCTACAGAGCTGTCACACTGGGGAAGCCTTTCCCTGGAGCAGGGCTGTAAGCTGCTATGCTTACTGTGGCCTGTGGTATTCTTTTCCATCTGAGCTGTAACACTTAGTATTCTGTGGCTCTGGAGTGCCAGAATCCCTTTCCATCCAAGCCACAATGCTTACACCAACCACACAGTGCTACTCTTATTAAAGGAATGGGTGCAGGAATAAAACTTTTTTTTTTTTTTTTTTTGGTTTTTTGAGACAGGGTTTCTCTGTAGCTTTGGAGGCTGTCTTGGAACTCACTTTGTAGACCAGGCTGGCCTCAAACTCACAGAGATCCGCCTGCCTCTGCCCTCCCGAGTGCTGGGATTAAAGGCGTGTGCCACCAACGCCCAGATGGATAAAACTATTTAAAACAATTTAATTCCAAACATGCACCTAGCCATCTCTCCCCACCCATCTTTTGGTCCCCA